TTCCCCCCGGACAGGGATTTGAGTCCCAAAAAGCCGGACATGTCCAGCAAAATCCGGACGTATGGTAACCCTAGGCTGAATAGGACAAAGGATTTAATAAACTTCAACATTAATCACAATTTTTGCAGCTCCCTGCCTTTCAGCGTATGCTGAGTATACAGCCACACTCTCTTTTTTTAGTAACTGCAGTTAAAAATCCTCAGAAACCAAAGGAGCGGATAAAGTGAGTCTTATTTAATCCTTCGAGAACAAGGGCCTTCAGAACCAAAAGTGAAAGTCTGAGCCAAAGCTGTTGGGCCATAACTCACTACAGTATGTTTTGACTAAATATAGCAGCCCTGTGGAATATGTAGCATCTCACATTTCTCAGAGACTTCAGCAAGGCCTAGGAATAGGTACAAAAGCCAAAATAGCCCAGGAGAGTTAATAGACTAAATTCACCAGCTGTGCTATTTGTGAAACACCCGAATAAACAAAAATCAAGGATGGTAAATGATTTCTTTTTATAATGGTTTTATAACAAGGAAACTCTTGGGGGAAGGTGTCTGTATTTCCGTATGTGTTTGTACAGCCCCTAGCACCATGGAGCCCTGATCCTGATTGGGTCCCAGTGGGCATCACCATAGTTTAAATAATAAATACTGATATTTACAGGTAAGTACACAGCTGAATGTTTGGTGTAGCTGGTATGGGGCTAGCATAGCCAGCTGACTCCCCCAGTGTGGGGAGCATGCTGGGATGAGAGTGGGTTGCCAACTTTCTAACTGCACAAAACCGAACACACTTGCCCTGCTGTGGTCAGAACGTACTATGCTTTAGTGATCCCCAGCTAGCGTAAGGCCTCCTACTGGGCTGTTAGAAGCTAGCCTAATTTGGAGCAACTCTGCCCCTTCTCTACCCCACTGGCACAGCCCTGTCACAGTTGAGGGTTATAACCCTGGTTTCTCTTCAAGCTTATAGTGGTATGGTCCGGAGACTAGTCTAATGAGCTTGTCACAAGGCAGAATAAAGGTAGATATTAAAAACACTTTTTCAAAGCAACAGTGGCTATCTGAGAGCTAACGGGTTGCATTTGTTTTATTCTGAAGGGCAAGATTTTATGAAGGTTCTCAACTGGTGGCAGATTCTGGAGTAACTGTAGACACTACCATGCGTGGAGGAAGACTTGGTGTTTTCTGCTTCTCTCAGGAAAACATTATTTGGTCCAACCTGAAATATCGCTGCAATGGTAACATTTCTCTTAGAGCGACTCAGCTCATGATTATCAAATGACCTACTGTACTAGAGGATAAGTAGTTTGGGCTTTTTTTTTTTTTTTTTTTTTTTATTAACCACCTTGCAGCCTTCACCAGCAAATGAATCTGAGGCCACGTCAGGCACAATGGTTCAATCTTAGTATGGGTCGCATCTCACCAGAGGTAGAATGAGCAGCTCAGCTCCTCTGTTGCCCCTGATCTGCAATATACATGTAATCTGCCAGCACAGTAGTGCCCTTATATGGAGCATGCTAACTACACCAAGTAGTTGCCATTAGAAATGTTACTAAAAGACCAAATGGACAACACCTTAAAGCTAACCATACAGCAAATGAGGCATTGTCCTCAGTAGATTAAATATGATGTCCCACAACACTCATTGCATGCACCAATACATCCACTGTACGTGATGTTAGCCAACCCACACTCCAGCCAAACTGCTGCTGCTCAAATCAGTTAGTGGAAGGCAGTTTCTTGTACCGGTCTTTACAGTGACAGTTGTTGCTATGAGCTTCCTCCGCGTGATGCCTGGCACCACAGCTGAGAAGGCATCCTCATCTGCAGACAGAATTTAGACATTTCACGCCTCTTCAGTTTTGGCCAGGGCTCCTTCTAGCTGAACTCAGATCTCTAATGTAGTGAGTCAGCATGAAAATCTCTGAATTAATTTTAAAACAGTGACGCAATACATCATAAAATTTGGGCACACTTTACAAAAAACGCAGTCCTGGGCTGTCGCCCCCACCTCGCCTATACCACCTCACTGCCCTGGTGCTCCCATGTACTTTGTGTACACAGCTGTGCGTCCACTTTAGATAACGAGTACACTTTTTCCTTATTGCATGAAATTCTTCTGGAGGAATTGTTCACATGAGGCTATTTCTGTCACATCAACTCATCAGTCTTATAAAAGTGGAACACAATCACTTCTCTCTTCTCAGAATCAATCTCTGCCTGACCAAACAGTCCCCTGTTTAATGTCATTATAGTCCACCCATGTACTGAAGAAAAGCCAGTTAGCCAATATTGCAGTGAGCAAATACTGACTGAGCTAGTAACTTACATTTTGTGGAATTAAACATTTAAATCCAAATCTCCGGCCCAGAACTAGTCCCAAGGTGACATGTTGCATGTTTAATGAGTTGCCAGCTTAGAATGAGTGAAGCAGGCTCTGGGAGCTGCTGGCCTTTGCTGCAACCGCTCTGCCTTTAGTTTCAATGACAAAGCAAATTGCTGTGCTCAGAAATGTTGTGATTCAAGTGAAAGACCCGGGGTGGCAAGTGCAATTGGCACTGTCATGAAGGGAGAAGAGTTCTTAAGATTAGATGTTTGATTTTCCACAAAGCATTACTCTGCCCCCCCAGCTTTAGCACTTGTAGAAAAAAGGTTCAAAACTGACAGGCTCTGCTTGGCAACAGCCCTGCTTCCCGAGCTAATCACTGACTCTTCCATAGCAAAAGCACTATTGCCACATATTCAGCAGTACCTTCCCTTATGGAAATAGCAGCGCTGCCAATTTTCACAATTGTAACACTCTTCTCACAATGTTTTCTTCACGCCCCAGTTGCTGGAGTCAAATGATCTCAGCTTTCATTTAAAAAAAAAGTTTCTATCTAGCCCTCAGCATTTCAGAGAAAAGCTTGAACCCGTGATCCAAGTGAATCCTAAACACTTAAAAAAATACAGTGGCAAATAAAAAGTCCCCCCCCCCTTTTAATCGCACTGATTCTTGAGCCAAATTTGTGATTGACTCATGATTTTTGAAGGCTTAAGGCTGGCATTACTGGGTTAGAGTGGAACGTGTGTCTGGCTTAGGTAAGGGCATGGGTCTGAAGCCCCATACAGCTGAGTGCCTCAGACTGTTCATTCAGCTATGTGCTTTTGTACCAGCTCCCAGGAGCTCCAAGTGAGAAGCCATAGGATTTGGCACAAGGATTTAAGGGGACACTGTTCACTTGAAACTAGTCAAGCTCCAACCAAACAAACTACAGTCATTTTGGCAACATTGACCTGCCAGTTTTTAAACATTTTATTATTGTTTTAATGTTCCCTTGCCTGCAGCTGTGTGAAAAGCCCACACCAACAGGGGACACTGGCTGCCTGTAGGCAGGAAGCAGTGCAGCTGAATGTGCAAAGTTCTGACAAAGGCACAGAGTAAACAAAACAAATATTTTCCTTCTTGTCTCTTTCTGTTCAGCCCTTCAGGTGCAGTTTGTAATAGGACGTTTTCAGACAAATGTGATTTTGAAATTGACACTGTCAACTTCAAGGACTTATAATCCACTCCCTTGCGCTCAGTGGCCACAGACTGATAAATCCTGCATGGTATTTAAAACCAGGAGATAGACATATTCTTCATGACACTCTAAAGACAGCTGGGCAGAGTAGGAAAAAAACTGCTTGTGACTGTTCGCTGAATTTGAGAGAGTGTATTTTAGTTCCACCCCATTCCCACAACCAGCTCTTTCGTGTTCCCTCGCAGCAAGCATTTGACCACTCAGCCTTTATTAGCCCACAAATACCTTCAGCTTGAATCATCACAGGCAGCAAATTATGAGGTGCTTGTTCAGTTATAAAATTCACTATTTTCCCTGCTGTGGTTTGTTACACAACCAATCACTCTTATCTATTCCACACAGTGCAAAGAGAAACTATGCCCAAATCTTGAATGATCTGCAACTCAAAAGTTATTCACAGAAATGATTCAGCAAATTAAAAATTCAGCTTGGAACTTCCACATTCTGCTTAGAGGCAATCCTGATTAGAAAAGAAGGCATCATTTACCCAATAAGCTATTCATTCCCAATTATCCACATTGCTCTAGTTCTAAACACTGATCAGCTACATAGGAAGAAGACTAAACTTTGCATATTTTCTTGTTTTCAGACACCATCCCAGAGGACTTTCAGGAATTTCAAGCTCAGCAGCTTGGAGTTGGAGATATTTAACACAGAAAGCAAACTGACGTTGCTATTTCAAACAGTAAAGCAATACTTTAAATCCTTATATGATTTTTTTTTGTAAGAGTGCACACTGCAGCTCCTTGTGGTTGATATAACTGTCAGACTTTTATATGTAAATATGAAAATAAAAAGGAGATAAAATAGTCTGGGGCTTCAGTGTCTTTGGAAATTGCTTGGCATGCTGCCTCATGGAGTTTAATGTAAAAACGCTTGGCTATGAACTGGGAGGCACTACTTTGCATGAGCGCACACATAAAACAAAGGATGTAACCAGCATGAAATGATCAGCGGTTCTCAGAGCTGTAGAAGTCCAAGTTTGAAGCAAAGTCTTAGGTCATCTAGTCTATGCTCCCGTCACAGCAGGTTTGTTCCCCATGGGTAGCTCTTCTCACGCTCTTTTCCAGTCTAGTTTTTAGTGTCTTCAGTGAGAAAGGATCAGGTCCCACCCTTTCCCATGGACTATTCCAGACCACTCCCTAATGGACTACTCTGAGAATTGTTCCTGATTTAGTCTAACTTTTCCTTCTAATTTCATCCATGAAAATCCAGCTGTTTACTCACAGAAATATCTGAAACTAATTCCGCAAACAATGGGGCATGGCCTCAGGCTCTAGCTCTTCAGTTCTCCAAGGTTCCTGGCAAGCAGTGTTAACAACAGACCCTCTCAGTTGCGTGCTCCATGTGTGGAAGTAATTTATGTAGTTAAACATTCACCGATTGTGTGTGTCTGTTCAGAGTACAAATCAGCATGTAGAATGGTCTGTCTTAAAGTTGCTGTGCTGGCCTATTTGAGTCACTTTGGAAAAATCTTCAAAACAACAGCATTAAGAGAAATTCCTCGTGCAGATAGGAATTTATTTTAACTAACCACAAGATGGCAGCATTTAATCCATACACGCCAGCGAAATTTCTACAGATACTGAAGATTTCTCCTTTGTGGGGGGGTTAAGTCTAAATCACAAGATGGCTGAAGATGGGGGTTTCTCGCTCTTCCTCTGAATGCTATACCAAAAAAATCCATACACCCCCTACCACCCTTGTAGGAAGAATCCTATTAAAATCTTGGGTCGTTCTCTTGGCTAGGATCCATTCCATGGGAGGGAAAAGAAAACAAGGCGTTCATATTTCTTAGAAAAACTTAACCCTGCGAGCACTAAAGACCAGGATATTCATCCTCTGGGCTCTTTACTGGGGGACAGAAGAGGAATAAAGCTTGTCTCTGTTCCTCTGCCCCCCCCCCACCCATTCCTTCATCCTCCCAGGATCCCTGCTTCGCTCCCCACTGCTACCTATAGTCTCACTCCTACAGCTCCACATGAGACTATCTCCTTTCCTCTCCTTCAATGGGTTCCTAATGAGAGTGATTAAGGCTATTGGGGAGATTAGTCATCTTATGAACAATAGATGGGGGGCGGGGGTATAGAGTAGGGAGTTTTCAGGAGTCCCATCATGTTCCCCAAAGGTTAGAAAATGCCTTTCCCTCATCTCCCAGCAGCCTGGCTAAAGACTTTGGAGTCTGGCTGGTCCCTAAGGTATTAGACAAATGAGGACAGGTTGTGCTTAAACATCAGCACAATGTCTTGCTTGCCTGCTGGCAGGCAGGTGTGGTACCACAAGCCATAAAGGATACGAACATCAAAACATATAAAAACAAAGGAGATTGGAGTGATTGGAACAACTGCAGAATAAGTTCTTAGTGCTGCTGGCAAGGTGTTCGCACAAGGCCTTCTCAAAAGACTGCAAGTTCTTGCTGAACGTGTTTATGCGGAGAATCAGTGCAGCTTCCATGCCAGTAGATCTATTATCGACATGCTCTTTGCATTGAGGCAACTGCAAGAAAAGTGTCAAGAACAAGGAAAAACCTTTCTGTGTGGCCTTCGTAGATCTTACAACGGCTTTTGACCTGGGCAGAAGAAAGGTCTTTTTCAATTGCTAGAGAGAACTGGTTCCTCTACCCCACTCCAATCCTCCTCACTGTGATTCAATCCTTCTATGATGGCATGAAGGCTACTGTCCGGTATGATTGGGATTAGTCTAATCCACAGTGATGTCAAACAGGGATATGTTTTGGCACCAACACTCTTCGGTATTTTCTTCTCTGCCGCTTCGGCATGCTTCTCATCTAGCACCGAGGGCATACATCTCCATCCAAGATCAGATGGAAAACTCTTCAGCATTGCACACTTTAGAGCAAAAAGCAAAGTCAGTCATTTGCTGATAAGAGAACTATTTTATTTTGCCAACACCACAGGGCTCATCACATACAATGAAGAGGAGCTTCAACAACTTTTCAGTGGTGTTGTGACAACTTGTTATGAATCTGGACTAATAGTCTAAAGAAGACAATGTTTATGGCACAAGACATGTTTGCTGCACCAGAGATGTCAATAGCTAACACCATGCTAGAAATTGTGCACAAAGTTCTGCGATCTAGGATCAACTGTATTTGATAATTTATCTCAAGATTACTAACTTAATTCTCACATCAGAAAAGCAGCTACCACATTCGGTCAACTGACCAAGCACATGTGGAATCACAGGAAACTAACATTGAACATCAGGATACAGATCTACCAGCTATGCCTTTTGAG